CTCTCTCTCTCTCTCTCTCTCTCTATATATATATATATATATATATATATATATATATATATATATATATATATATATATATATATACATATATATATATGTATTAACGTATTTACACATAATATGTATATACATATATATATATACATAAAGTCAAGTGGTTCAGAAAATGCCACATTCCAACTTGTCTTCAACATATGACAAACTTAGTTAAGGACGCATTTGGTATTAAAAAGATCAACTCATAATGTCAACGACTCAAAAGTTACAAGGCCACGCCTTCTAGTGGTCCTCGCAATACGATATTGAGGATGCGCGCGAGAGAGAGAGAGACGTCTTTGATAAGAACGATAACAATCACTTCACCCTGGTCACGGGCAATAATCCTTGATTTCCCCTTTTTTTACTCTTGAAGTGAATCTCTAACCATTTTTTTCTTCTCTCTCTCCCGTCTCCTTCTATAGCATACAAGCAAAATGAAAGTATTGAAACGCCGATAAAAGTGTCATTCACTCTTAACTCCAGACACTGATGATTTCATATGCGACGGTGATTAGAAATGTAATCGAGACAGCCCAGTGTCTTATACACGGTATTTTCGAAACGTGCGGTTTTCACTTTGTTTCTTTGTTGTTTGATTGAACAGATTTGAACGCGTTCAGATGTTTAAGTGACAAAAATCAAAGTTGAGGGTTATCTCCCAATTTTAACCCTGAAAGAGCAAACAAAGAAACGAAAACATATTATTGTTTCCACAAAGAACTTATTGGAGGCAAAAGAAGATGCTTAATGTAAAACAAAAAAAAACAAGTTTTTAAAAGTATCGTCTGTTCCGGTGAAAAGTATATCAATCTAAAATCTTTATAGTGGAACTTTTTTTTTTTTTTTTTTTTTTAGCGGGCTATGTGTTGGTCATTATTAGGCCAGATGGGCAGGACTCGTTAACTCTGGATGGCAGCTCATCTAAGAGAAGGCAAACTCTGAAATAAAAAAAAACCCGGAGATGAAGTCCCGTAGGCGGTATGACATTGACACAGTGACACTTCCGACAACTCCTGCGCCGTAGGATACACGAAGAGCACAGTGAAACATATTCACACACCCACTGATCTACTCTGCATCCTGGTCTATTACCAATAGTCATGATTAACTCTTGCCATCGGAAAAAAAATAAGCAAAGACGAGAGAGTGACGCTGACGAATTGAGGAGCTCTCTCTCACTTTAAACAAAACAAAAAAAACAAAAAAAAAAAAAACCCAGGTGAAGGCTACTATTCTCAAGTCGAAAACTTCTTTGGTCAACTTCGCGTGCGAAAGGCCTATATAATATATAATTTATAACACCGACAATGATTGAAAACCCTTTTTAACTCGCTAGACTCCAATCAGCCCTGAAGCTCACGGGTCGTCTATTAAAAGTCGTCTTACGACCCTCAATGGGCTGTCTATACGAAGCAACACATTTGATTTATATTCGGAAGCTAACAGGATTAAATATAAAAAAGTAGAATTAAAATCTTCATCCATAGGTAATGACAATAAAAAGATTAATAGATTATTGCATTACAAAGTAACAGTAATGTAGTGCATATATTGGTTGAACAAAAACGGTATCAAAGCATGATTTAAACTGAGTATAGCTCATGCTTAAAAAATGCTTTATGCTAATGGAGTCGAGGAAACCGAATGATCGATACTGATTTGGAAAAGTCAACAGAGACCATTGTGTCTGCAATACTAATTGTGGAAAGTAACGTTGTTGTCTTATGGTAATTTGAATATTCGTTCGATATATATTATATATTTAGAAGTATTTAAAATCAACATAGCAGGGAAGTAAAGTAACACAGTACACTGTTACAATGAAACATATACATCAAAGATAATCAGAACGTAGTAAAGATACTCACTACGTAGTAAAGATACTCACTACGTAGAAAAGATACTCATTACGTAGAAAAGATACTCACTACGTAGAAAAGATACTCACTACGTAGTAAAGATACTCAATACGTAGTTAACATACTCACTACGTAGTAAAGATACTCACTACGTAGAAAAGATACTCACTACGTAGTAAAGATTAGTCACTACGTAGTAAAGATACTCACTACGTAGTACAGATACTCACTACGTAGTAAAGATACTCACTACGTAGTAAAGATACTCACTACGTAGTAAAGATACTCACTACGTAGTAAAGATACTCACTACATAGTAAAGATACTCACTACATAGTAAAGATACTCACTACGTACTAAAGATACTCACTACGTTGTAAAGATACTCAATACGTAGTTAACATACTCACTACGTTGTAAAGATACTCACTACGTAGTAAAGATACTCAATACGTAGTAAAGATACTCACTACGTAGTAAAGATACTCACTACGTAGAAAAGATACTCACTACGTAGAAAAGATACTCACTACGTAGTAAAGATACTCACTACGTAGTAAAGATACTCACTACGTAGTAAAGATTAGTCACTACGTAGTAAAGATACTCACTACGTAGTACAGATACTCACTACGTAGTAAAGATACTCACTACGTAGAAAAGATACTCACTACGTAGTAAAGATTAGTCACTACGTAGTAAAGATACTCACTACGTAGTACAGATACTCACTACGTAGTAAAGATACTCACTACGTAGTAAAGATACTCACTACGTAGTAAAGATACTCACTACATAGTAAAGATACTCACTACGTAGTAAAGATACTCACTACGTAGTAAAGATACTCATTACGTAGTAAAGATACTCACTACGTAGTAAAGATACTCACTACGTAGTAAAGATACTCGACACCGGAACAATGAGAACAACCCAATGTGCTAAAAATAAAAAATGAAAATCAGTATTCAGTGAGGAAAAAAAACCGCAATCTTCTCTTTTGACTCATTGCATGCATCATGTCTAACAACAGCTATTGGCCGATGTCGACGATTGCGTCTCACGAATTAACCTTCGAACTCGCGAACGCCACCTCGACCAAGCCAGTCTACCCAACCATAACAAAGAATGAGATCTACTTCAATCTGGTGACCAGCATGAACCGGTATGTCTTCCCATCGGTTTGCCTGCTTGGATTCTCGGGGAACATCCTCAGCTTCTACGTCCTGCTCCGCTGCAAGCTGAAGAGGCCGTCGGACATCTTTCTATTCGCACTGACGGTGTCGGACTGCCTGTACTTGCTGTATCCCCTGGACGCGACCAAGCTGCTCATCTACTTCGGCTCCGGCGTCGCCTCGATCGGGTGGGCATTCCCGGAGAAGGTTGCACACGCGCTATTTGTGATCAACCTCATCTCTGAGACGTTTGCCAACCTGGGAGCGTACACAACAACCACGCTGGCCGTCGCCATCACCGTTGAGCGCTGCCTGGCAGTGTTTTTCCCTCTTAAATTCAAACACCTCGTCACGCCCAAGAGGGCGTGGATCACCGTGCTCTGCGTCTTTCTATTCTGGTCGCCGTGGTGTTTAAACGCAGCGTTTCTCGCAAGTTTTTACTACGTTCGCTTAAACGGCGCGTCCGCGGTCGGCCTGGCGCTTCCTTCCCCTTACTACAACAGGAACGTCCACGTCATTACCGTGTTTGACAAGTTCGTCTTCTCGGCTCTGTCCTACTGGATTCCCGTGATTCTGGTCACCACCGGAAGTATTTTGGTTGGGGTCAAAGTCAAGACGGCGCACAGAAAACGGAGAGAGCTGGCCTCATCCTCCTCGGCCGAGGCCTTGTCCAGGTCAATGAAGCGAACAACCAGAACGCTCCTCAGCGTGTCCATGATCTTTGCCGTGCTGTATGGGTACGGTTCCCTGGCCGATGTCATCAGATCGGAAACGGTCTCCAGCGAAGACTTGCTCGGTGGAATTTTACTTGAGACTCGCAACCTAGCTTTCCACATCAACAGCTCCAGTAATTTTTTGGTATATTTGCTGACGAACAGAAAGTTTAGAGCAATCTTATGCGAGAGTTGTAGGTGTTTCTTAAGCGCCAGAACGCATGAGGGGAATATATCGGCATAGGGCTTTAATTAACAATTCTTTCTTTTGGCATCGCAGACAGGGTCTTACTGATAGCTCATCAGGTGTAACAACTTTTAAGCGTCATTTTTTAAATTCTTAAAATGGAATTAAGAAAAGACTCTGTTACGCCATTATATATTTTTTTAAAAATAATTAATTTAAAATATTTTTTTTGTTCATGCCATCAAAGTTTGATGGTATTAAAATATGTTACGAACTACCCCTAAAATATAGGGTCATATATTCTAGTAGTGCTGTTGATTTGTTTTTCAAACATATGTATATATATTATGTATTATCAACAAATAGAAAGAAAATACAGAACGCCACGTAAAGCTGTTAAGCCATTGAATGCAATATGTTACACTGTTTTATCGTTAGCAGTGTCTCTTTAGGAGTCGCTAATGGTCCGGACCACCTATTATTTGAGACACCCTTGTCTTATCGTATGCACAGTGATGTCACGTCGGAGTCTTTTTTTGGGATTCCAGCATTCTGCCATTATTTTCGTTTCTTTGCGAAAGCTCATGAAAATAAATAATCATGGATGACTATTAGCCATCTGTAATGCCAAACAATCCATGCCGAGTAATTTGTAATATTGAGGCCCTTGTAAATGTCAGACCTCTGCAGGGCCGACCCAAATGTTGCTGGCAACACGGAAAAGCTTAAATTTGTGCCTGGAAAAAAAAAATGGGGGGGCTACATAATGAGTTTATTATCTTGCTTTAAAATAAAACAATGAACAATTAAATTGTTTTCTTAACTTGTATTTGGACAGTATGAACAATTATCCTATCGATGTCGTTTTCCTCCCGTCCATTAGATTAGTAAATCTTCCATTGTGCCCACATGCAATGATATTTCCTATTTTGCAAGATCGTTGATGGCGCCCCGGGCAACTGCCTGAGTTGCCGGTACCTTAAGGCGGCCCCGGGCCCCTGTAAATGCAATGCTGCTATACTTGTAAGCACTGTGTAAATGTGGGGGACTCTTTAGTTGTAATGCCTCTTCAAACGTGAGACCCTTGCACATTTAGCGCACCTATAAATGTGAGGCCCCGGCGATTGTAAGCCCATGGCTTAAAACACCCTGTTGAGATTAACATCCAATCCATAATGAGATGGCCTGATCATAAAGCGGATGCCATGACAAATAGTTTTCATGAAAATAAATATGAATTTCAATGAACCATAATTGCCAGCGGGCAATTGATCAATCATCTAGGAGATAAAAAAAGGTGATATTGTTTCTGATTTTGTTGAAGTGTTTTTTTGTTTCTTTTCTGAATGCGTCACCAGCCTGCCAAACGCATAGACTATTAAAATACTCGATTACTATAGTATAGAGCATCTTCGAGTATCTTCTGAAATAGTTTGTCGATTGCACTCTACAGCACTGTCTATCAACGAATACCCGGGCACACCAAATGTTGGAACACAAAGACTTTATGACTGATTAGGGGTCTTCTTTAATACGCGTATATGTTACGAAGTTTCAACTTGTTACAGTATCTCGTTATAACTACACAGTCGCACATATTCACCTTGTTACAGTATCTCGTTATAACTACACAGTCACACAGATTCTCCTGGTTACAGTATCTCGTTATAACTACACATTCACACAGATTCACCTGGTTACAGTATCTCCTTATAACTACACAGTCACACATATTCACCTGGTTACAGTATCTCCTAATAACTACACAGTCCGACGGATTCACTTGGTTACAGTATCTCCTAATAACTACACAGTCCGACGGATTCACTTGGTTACAGTATCTCCTAATAACTACACAGTCCGACAGATTCACCTGGTTACAGTTTCTCCTAATAACTACACAGTCCGACAGATTCACCTGGTTACAGTTTCTCCTTATAACTACACATTCACACAGATTCACCTGGTTACAGTATCTCCTTATAACTACACAGTCACACAGATTCACCTGGTTACAGTATCTCCTAATAACTACACAGTCCGACAGATTCACCTGGTTACAGTTTCTCCTAATAACTACACAGTCACACAGATTCCTCTGGTTACAGTATCTCCTTATAACTACACAGTCACACAGATTCACCTGGTTACAGTATCTCCTAATAACTACACAGTCCGACAGATTCACCTGGTTACAGTATCTCCTAATAACTACACAGTCCGACAGATTCACCTGGTTACAGTTTCTCCTAATAACTACACAGTCACATAGATTCACCTGGTTACAGTATCTCCTAATAACTACACAGTCACATAGATTCACCTGGTTACAGTATCTCCTAATAACTACACAGTCACATAGATTCACCTGGTTACAGTTTCTCCTAATAACTACACAGTCCGACAGATTCACCTGGTTACAGTTTCTCCTAATAACTACACAGTCAACCAGATTCACCTGGTTACAGTATCTCCTAATAACTACACAGTCACACAGATTCACCTGGTTACAGTATCTCCTTATAACTACACAGTCGCACAGATTCACCTGGTTACAGTATCTCCTAATAACTACACAGTCACATAGATTCCTCTGGTTACAGTATCTCCTAATAACTACACAGTCACATAGATTCACCTGGTTACAGTATCTCCTAATAACTACACAGTCACATAGATTCCTCTGGTTACAGTATCTCCTAATAACTACACAGTCACATAGATTCACCTGGTTACGGTATCTCCTAATAACTACACAGTCACATAGATTCACCTGGTTACAGTATCTCCTTATAACTACACAGTCGCACAGATTCACCTGGTTACAGTATCTCCTTATAACTACACAGTCGCACAGATTCACCTGGTTACAGTATCTCCTAATAACTACACAGTCACATAGATTCACCTTGTTACAGTATCTCCTAATAACTACACAGTCACACAGATTCACCTGGTTACAGTATCTCCTAATAACTACACAGTCACACAGATTCCTCTGGTTACAGTATCTCCTTATAACTACACAGTCACATAGATTCACCTGGTTACAATATCTCCTTATAACTACACAGTCGCACAGATTCCCCTGGTTACAGTATCTCCTTATAACTACACAGTCACACATATTCACCTGGCTACAGTATCTCCTTATAACTACACAGTCACACAGATTCACCTGGTTACAGTATCTTCTTATAACTACACAGTCACAGATATTCACATGGTTACATGATCTCCTTATAACTACACAGTCGCACAGATTCACCTGGTTACAGTATCTCCTTATAACTACACAGTCACACATATTCACATGGTTACATGATCTCCTTATAACTACACAGTCACATAGATTCACCTGGTTACAGTATCTCCTTATAACTACACAGTCACACATATTCACATGGTTACATGATCTCCTTATAACTACACAGTCACACAGATTCACCTGGTTACAGTATCTTCTTATAACTACACAGTCACACAAATTCACCTGGTTACAGTATCTCCTTATAACTACACAGTCACACATATTCACCTGGTTAAAGTATCTCTTTATAACTACACAGTCACACAAATTCACCTGGTTACAGTATCTTCTTATAACTACACAGTCACACAGATTCACCTGGTTACATTATCTCTTTATAACTACACAGTCACACATATTCACCTGGCTACAGTATCTCCTTATAACTACACAGTCACACAGATTCACCTGGTTACAGTATCTCCTTATAACTACACAGTCACACATATTCACCTGGCTACAGTATCTCCTTATAACTACACAGTCACACATATTCACCTGGCTACAGTATATCTTTATAACTACACAGTCACACAGAATCACCTGGTTACAGTATCTCCTTATAACTACACAGTCACACAGATTCACCTGGTTACAGTATCTCCTTATAACTACACAGTCACACATATTCACCTGGCTACAGTATCTCCTTATAACTACACAGTCACACATATTCACCTGGTTACAGTATCTCCTTATAACTACACAGTCACACATATTCACCTGGCTACAGTATCTCCTTATAACTACACAGTCACACAGAATCACCTGGTTACAGTATCTCCTTATAACTACACAGTCACACAGATTCACCTGGTTACAGTATCTCCTTATAACTACACAGTCACACAGAATCACCTGGTTACAGTATCTCCTTATAACTACACAGTCACACATATTCACCTGGCTACAGTATCTCCTTATAACTACACAGTCACACATATTCACCTGGTTACAGTATCTCCTTATAACTACACAGTCACACATATTCACCTGGCTACAGTATCTCCTTATAACTACACAGTCACACAGAATCACCTGGTTACAGTATCTCCTTATAACTACACAGTCACACATATTCACCTGGCTACAGTATCTCCTTATAACTACACAGTCACACAGAATCACCTGGTTACAGTATCTCCTTATAACTACACAGTCACACATATTCACCTGGCTACAGTATCTCCTTATAACTACACAGTCACACAGATTCACCTGGTTACAGTATCTCCTTATAACTACACAGTCACACATATTCACCTGGCTACAGTATCTCCTTATAACTACACAGTCACACAGAATCACCTGGTTACAGTATCTCCTTATAACTACACAGTCACACAAATTCACCTGGTTACAGTATCTCCTTATAACTACACAGTCACACATATTCACCTGGCTACAGTATCTCCTTATAACTACACATTCACACAGAATCACCTGGTTACAGTATCTCCTTATAACTATACATTCACACCTGTTCACCTCTTAACAGTATCTCCTTATTACTACACAGTCACACAGAATCACCTGGTTACATTATCTCTTTATAACTACACATTCACACATATTCATCTGGTTACATTATCTCCTTATAACTACACAGTCACACAGCGTTACCTGGCTACAGTATCTCCATATAACTACACAGTCACACATATTCACCTGGTTATAGTATCTCCTTATAACTATACAGTCAATC